TAAAGTACATAGAGTGCCAAAAGTTACTCTAACCCTTATATCTATCCCTATTTATAGGAACACCAGAAGTAAACAAAAAGAACATAAGGGCTAAGACAAGTATGCTTCGACCTCTAAAATTGCCCTTATGAAATATATACAATGAATACAAGAAAATAGACTTCGACACTAACCATGACTAAAGACGCTTCGACATCTCACAACATATTTCGAACTCTACAGACTTCGAGGACGAAGTCTGAATCAAGTGAGGGAGATTTATAACATCTAGATACTAGAGGAACGAATAAATTAAGTAAAATATGGATTTAAGGGGGTCACCACATGAAGGAATCACCCTCACATCGTGACGTGGTCGTGTTATGCGGGTTAAATCATTGAAGTGTCCCGACGTGACACTATAGGGGTCACGACGTGACACCTGATTAAATGAAAATCCTAATTTTCGGACATTAGACCCTATTTAAAGGAAGTGAGGGGCTAGGGTTTCTTTCACCCTCAGCCTCCATCACCTCCAAACAAGAAAAAAGAAACCTTAATCCCTCTCCTCTATTTTTAGGCTTATTTTGGTGCTTATGCTTGCTTTTGAAGGAAGAATGAGCCATTAGAAGAGTTATGAACGCATTGGCTAGTTTGGAGATTCATTTTGAGCAAGTTTGGACCTTTGTAAGTGTCCAGGATCTAATCTTTCTATGCTAGGTTTCTAGATCTATAGTTTTGTCCCATTTTCTTCATGTAAGAGTTAGTTAGAATCGTGGGATTCGAGAAAGTTGGCAACTTTATGGATCCTTGAGGTCCTATGTTTATCATATGGTTTAGATCTGGAAATGGAATGCGTTTTGGACACTTGCATGTGAGCTTTGGTGATTTTTCTTCATTTTTACCCAAAATGAGATCTAGACATGCATGTCCATAAAACATCGATTTTTATGTTCATTTTAGAGTTATAAAACCCTCTAGAAAGTTGGAATGCATGAGTGAAAGGATTATAGTTGAATGCATTAAGATGCCCATTTGCGTGAGTCACGACGTGGACATTTGGTGGTCACGACATGACGAAAAGACTTTCCCTGACTGTTTTGGACTGACTCAGTCACGACATGAGGGTATGGCCATCACGACGTGACGGTGGTCTGGATTGATTATGAATGGAGTTAAGTTGAGTTGAATCGTGACTAAGTTAGGACTGTATGGGATCTATTTTCACGACGTGACCATGAGTTGGTCACGACCTGACGGTCAGCTAATGGAAGTGTTGACCCTTGACTTTGATTGTGATCGTTGACTTGTTGACCTGATTTGACTTTTGGTCAAAATGACTAGTTTTGGAAGTTAGACTAGGGTAGGACCTTGTTTGATTAGATAGGTATGTTGTATTGTCGTTCGCGTGGCAATGAGCTATGTTTTAGTTGATCCCATGAGATAGGTGAATCTTCTCACTATACTGTGTAAAACGTTAGCTGTCTTTATGACTGTTGCATTGATACGTTGGGTTGGGCCCATTTATTATTTATTGGGTTTGGCTCATTTTTATATATGTTGGGGTTGGCCTATTTGTCTGTTGGATTGGCCGATTTGTATGTTGCACTGGGTCCATTTATTATGTATTTGGGCTGGGCCTATTTTTATGAATGTTGGGTTGGGCTCATTGGCATGATTGAGTTGGGCCCATTTATATGGTATATGATATTTTGGGGAACCCACTAAGCTTTGTGCTTATGATTTGTGGTTTAAACATTTTATGGTATTTCCAGTTCCAAAGGGAAGAGTCTGGCGTGACTGCACAACATCTCCTTATGATTTTTGAATGGATGATTATTTTACTCTGATGATTTTGATATATTGTATTATGATTGATTTTGAGACACATGATGTATGGATTTGATGATTTTTAAATAAAAAATTTGATAAGTATTTTGGGACGTTACATAGATTCAGTTCATCAACATCACAATGATTATCATCAACATGATAGAAATTTAATATGCAATGCCACCATATGAAATGAAAGTCAATATAATGAAATATGACACACAATTCCTCTATGACGAATATATGACTCCATTAATATGAAGGAGTTCCATTTAGGTTGACATTCTTAAATTAGTTTACTAGTTCAAAGAGAAAGGGGTTGCTCTATTACAATTGTGTAATAAGAAGGTTGGAGATGGTTCTTTAACTTCTTTTTGGGAGGATGGTTGGTTAGGATGGACTTCTTTAAAATTCAATACCCTATATCGTTTAATTTAGAGACAGAGAAAAATATTATAGCTAAAGCTAAGGTGGAGCAGACTTCCATGTTTGTGTCATTTTGTAGGGTTCCTAAGGGAGAGCCTTCAATGGGAAGGGTTTATAGATTTAATTGGTTCAATCACTTTTTCTTCTGTTACCGATATATGGTTTTGGTCCTTAGCAGGGTCGAGGAAGTAATATGTGGCTTATGCATGTATTTTTATAATTAATAAGATATTTTCATTGTGTTCCCCTCTAACAAGGTGGAGTATGGAGTTCATATCAAGGTCAATGTGTTGGCAACATCTTTCTCTAGATAAGCTCCATAGTAGAGTTAATATAGAGATTTGTGGTTTGGATGTGCCTTCATTGCAGTGTCTTATTTGTGACGCTAGAATTAAAACTTCCAATAATTTGTTTTTTTGTCTTTCCATTTAGCCATGTAGTTACGGGTCTAGATTTTTGGTGATGGGGCCTTGATGTGCATATTATATACTCTTATACAGATTGATTGATTTGGTTCAATTCTCTTCGTCTGTCTAGAGTGGTGAATAATTGTTTAGAGTGTATCTTCTATTATTCTTGGTGTCATATTTGGAATTTTAGAAATGCTTGTCTTTTTTATTTTTCTAAGCCGATGGTGGCAGATATTTTGATAAGTTTGGCATGCACTCTTTTTTTGGTGTAATATTAGGTCTATGAAAACTATTAACACGGTTGGGTGGCTTCAAAACCCTCAAATAGCTATTACTTTACGTGCATAATGGTTGGATTGGTTCATATAGAATGAAAAACAAGTTCTACGTATAAACATAGAATGCATCACAACTTCTCGACGGGTGGACATGTTGTGTCATGTCGTGTTTGTGTAAGGTTAAAACTTAAATGGGTTGAGATAGTTTGAATCTAACTCGTTTAATTATCGGTTTGTATCATGTCAACCCGTTTATTTTTGTGTTAAGTTTGTGCCGGATTTGTAGGATTAGGATTTAAAGCTTGTAAATATGTCGTGTCGTGTTATATTAAAACACTAGATAGATCGAAAGAGTAGGATTTGAAGAGGCGGAAAAAATTGCAAAACATTAAGAAGTAGTAGTTTTGGAGGCGCGTGGATGAAATTCACAATAAGTTCAAACGATGGAAGTCACATTGGAAAAGAATTGAGCAAGCGAGATTGTGGAATATGAGATATTAATAAAAATAAGTGAAAAAAATAAACATAAATATTGATTGTGACGGCAAATTAGTGGATTTCAGACTTAAACAAAAGTTTATTTTATTAAGAAAATTACTAAACTAACCTAAAACACTAATTACTTACTCATCTTTAGCCAAAAATTAGCAATTGTCCCAGAATAGTCACCAAAACATTAGACGATTAGGGTCGCTTACTATTTCGCCCTAAAACCTACGGTTTCGGTTTAAATATAAAAAAAATCATTTTTTAAATCAAAACTGTAGGTTTTTAAAAACCTACGGTATGCTCTCAATGGCCTAAGGTTTCCCAAACCGTAGGTATATAAAAAATATGGTTTCGTACAAAACCTACGGTGTACAAGTAGACAATGCACAATTTGTGCATTGTCTACTTGTACACCGTAGGTTTCATATGAAGCTTATGGTTTCATATTTTTTTTCGGTTTAAAAAAAATAAAAAAAAATAAAAAAAACAAACAAACAAACAAATCCTATGTATAAAACCCACTAATAATCAAGAATACAATAAAATCACAGCAAAATTTGACACATACCTTGGTGTTCTTTAAAGGCTCTATTGAGAACAAAGAGTAGGAAAAATCAAGGAAAAAGTAAGAGAAATTACTTAATCTAAAAAATATACATTTATATATTATGGGCCGATGGGCCTGAAAAAGAAGTCGAAGCCACAAAAGAGTAGTTCATTGCCCCAAAAAAGTAGTCAATTTACTTTTTGTTTGTTGATCATAGTCAAAGGGCTGCTGAGACGATCCTAAGCGTCTACAGTTTATATGACTTCTTTGGGGATAAATATATAAACCGGTAATTTTCGTTTCATTTTTGTGTTGAAAGTTTGGACCTTAAACGTATCCGTTTAAACGTATCCGTTTAATTTCCGTTTAACACGTTTTGACCTAAATTTGTTTATCTGTATGTCGTGTTTGTGATGTGTTAAAAATTGTCTCCCTTAGTTGAGTAAATGTTTTGTTTGTATTTGTATTTGTTTTAATTCGAAAATATAGAATTTAGTTAAAAGCACACTCTTTAGTAATTTAAGATAAAGGTTTTGTTTTTGAGAGGAACTGAACTACCGAGAATTTGATCCAAGAACCTAAAACCATCTACAATCAAGATTTGAACCAGATATGACCAGCATATTCTTAACCCGTCTGATCGTGTCTTAAATCAATCATTCCATGTTACTAAAATAAATACTATATTAAAATTTCAACAACTACTTGCCTTCTATTTTATTAAAAGAGCATTGATTACTTTCATGACTTCCTACCCAACACTTATCAAATATCACCAACAAAAAAACAAACTTCCTAATTGTTCATCTTTATAAGTTTTCTCAATCTTTACTTCAAAACCCGGACCCCATATTTGTTTACAACCTTCAAGACGCCATTGATGCAGCAGTTAATATGGTTTCTTTAAGCTGAGAAGACATGGAAAGAGTTTATTGCTCTTCAATATCTGTAAATACTTTTGTGCCTTAAGAATTTTTTGTTTTAATGTATATATATTTTAGCTGTTAACTAGAGCTTTTGCGTACAACTTTTGATGTTATGGGGTCTTTGAAGGATCCAAAAACATGGATTCCTCATATAAACCCTAAAGATTGTTCCAAAAAGATCTGCAACATATACTGTACAAAGTGGTGTAAGTACGTCATCCTCCCTTCACCTCCGCCACCTGCACCACAGGATGATTTGGGTGGTGCCAAACTGTCACCGGCGGTAATTGTTATCATTTCTCTTATCGGAAGTTTTTTCCTTTTGATGGGTTACTACGTTGTAATCTCGCGTTACTGTTTAAGAAACAACGATTCATCTGTGTCATTAAGCACATCAACTGAGAATCAAGAAACCCATGATCCAGAAAGGGGAGTAGATGGTCATGGTGAAGATCATCACGATCCATTGATCTATGTACCATGGCTTGTTTTAGGTAAGGGTCTGGATGAGGCTTTGATCAAGTCCATCACGATATGTAAGTACAAGAGAGGCGATGGATTGGTCTTGTGTACAGATTGTTCGGTTTGTTTAGGGGAGTTTCAAGAAGATGAGAGCATTAAGCTTCTACCAAAATGTAGCCATGCATTTCATGTGTATTGTATTGATACATGGCTCAAAACTCACTCGAATTGTCCGTTGTGTAGAGCAAAAGTATGTTGTGATATTAAAGCTCCGCCCCTCATCTCCCCCCCACCACCACCTCCTCCTCCACGGCCACCACCTCCACCACCACCAGTGATGACTAGCGACTTAGAAGGACGAGATGTTGCTATTGAGATTGGAGAAGAGGGTTTTAGGAAGATTAAAAGATCTAAATCTTTGAGCTATTTGTGTCAAACTCGAGCTTCAGTTGCCGAAGTTATGTTCTTTGATCAAGCCGAAGAAATGGCACAACAACAAATCCAATTGGGGAGCGACGCCGGATCATCTAGGATGATTTGGAGAGAACCAAGGGTTTAATATTTGCTATGTGTGAGCCATTTTGGTGTGAAAAAGATCATGTTCAAGTGGCAAGTTTCATTTGTTTACTAGAGAGGGTGGATAGACTAGGGTTTGTGTTTAAAAGTACCGTCAATTTTTTATGGTGAATTAGCCATTAGTTTCATGTACTTGCAATTATTACTGTATATATGTACTCAAAAGGAGAATGTTTAAAGATTCGATGATGATCCACATTGATACATGACATGAACTTAAGGGTAAATAGAAGATGATAATGTACACCATATTGAGTGATATGTTCATATTTTATTTTCATTTGTAACACATTATCATGCACTTTACATTCATATTAGCATTTTTTTTTCCATTTTGCATTCTAATCATTTCATGTGTGTTACATGGTTGGGTTTCACATGTTATATAATATGCGATATTGTATGCTAATTGGGATTGCCTTTGAAGGCAAGAAGAATAAAAATAGAGGGAAGGCATTAATGAAATGAATGAATCACGGAAGCCTGTTGAACTTGAAGGTATCAAGCGCAATCTGAAGCCCGCATTTGAAAACAATAAAAACCTAACATCAATGGAAGCCCAACATGCTAATAACAATTAACAAGTACCGTTCTTAGATCTTGACTTCTATGTTTACCGCTTCATTCGCATTATTTTTTATTCCATATTATTTGTCTCGATTCTTATATTTTTTCATTTCACATTTGTTACATTTCCAAAATACAAGATTTGGTTTCTTGTTGGATCCTTTTTGGTTTTCATCTCTTTTTTGGTTTGTTTCCTTTATATTGTTTCTTTTTCCATTTTCCACCATATTAAAAGATGATGGATTGGGAATATATATGTCCTTTCCTTCGCTATTTTCTTGAATTCGAAAAGATTCCTCGATATGTAGGTAGTTACATTGTGTCACGACGTGGTGGTTGGAGCACCATGATGTGGCATGCCGAATTCATGAATGCGTATCCACGATGGTCTTCACGACGTGACAGCAGCTGCAGCCCAAGCTCATGATCTTTTAGGGTTTATTCGATATTTAAGACCCAAAAATCAAGGTTTAGGGCATCCTCTTCAGCCTCCAAATCTTTCAACGAAACCCTAGCATCCATTGTTGAGTTCATGAGCTTTTGGTTGTGTTTTTGGTGTCTTGAATGAGAAGGAAACAGCCTTGGTGCATAGATCCATCTTGCAAGTCTTATCATCATCTTCTAACACTTACTCTGGACCATTGTCAGTGTTCAAGTTCCAAACTTTATGTTCTATGCTTATATATCTTGGATTTTTGTGCATTTTCTTCATGTTTGGGAGAGTTTGAGTGGTTGGATTACATAAAGTTGGAAACTTTATGGATGCTTGAGCTCCCTTTGAGGTCTAGTGTTCTAGATCTGAGATTCGGTTAGGTTTTGGCTCATGCATGAGATTTTGACCTCATTTCCACCATTTTTATGACTTAGCTTGGGGAAAGACATGCATTGGACATGCATAACTATAAAGCAACGAATTTTATGACTCAATGGATGTAGGAAAGCCTTCTGGAGGAGATATGTGTGTGGCTTAATAGATTAAAGGCTTAATCCATTAAGTTGTCCACAATCAGTTCCCACGACGTGACGATATGCCCGTCACATCGTGAGGTAGGAGGATACCACGATTGTTTTGTCTGGATGTTCCTACGATGTCGCCAATAGTCCTCCACGTCGTGGTAGCGGCTGACCGTTGACTTTGTTAATAGTTTACCATTGAATTTTTCACCAATTTGACATTGGTCCAAACTTGAAGGAATTGGGTTATTGATTAAGGTTAGACCTTTGTTTGGTGTTAGTCGATTTGCGGGAGCGATCAGTACAGGGAGTAAGTGTGTTGCTGTATTTCCTCGGGTCTTCAATTCAGGTTAATTTTCTCACTATACTACCTATGTCATAGTAGGGTGCATGCTAGACTAGCTAATTCTTAGTAGTTAATGGTTGTTATGAGTATTTACTGAGTTGCTAATAACTCCAAGCCTGCTGATAGTCCGTAGGACTGTTGATAGTCTCAGGGTTGCTGATAACCCATAGCTGTTTATATTGACATATGGGTAGTGGTATGTTGGTTAGAGTACCAGGAGGTCGGTAGTCGTCTAGTTGAGTGCTCTAGGAGTTGTATGTAGTCATGTAGGATAGCTTGAGAACTCTTGATCTAGGATTTCTTGCATGTTCCTTGTTAGGTTGTGGCTCTAGAGTAGGATAACATGTTTGATTGTTTATCTCACCTCTGATTACCTATAGTTATGCATTCAATAGTGGTCTGCTAATGGTGACGTAGAGTACTGGGTGAGGCCCGATATGTAGTAGTGAGTTGTTAGAATGGTAGACTAGTGTAGGTATTGCTTATGTTTATGTTCTTAATTATTGATTGTTGTTATACATTTATATATGTTTCTAATAACTCCAGGAATGTTGATAGTCCACATGGTTGTTGATAACCCACATAGTTGTTGATAACCCATAGGCTGTGGTGAGCCATATGACTGCTGATAGTCTCAGGGTTACGGATAACACATAGTTGTATATTGTTAAACCACTGCCGCGCATGATTTAAGCAAATAAAATAATCACTGTTGGTTTCACTAAAGGATAGCACATGTAAGCAAGGTTGAATCCTTAGGGACACATCCTAATGGTCAATGCCTCTTTGTATAAGGCGTATACTAGTCATTTAACAGAAAATATAAAAATGGGGATTTAATTATTAAGTAAAAACTAAAATTGCAGTGAAATAAACTAAATGAAATCAGTAATAAAAACTAATTCAGTTCTGCTGCGACTTTCCTACTCATGCAATCAGCCTAGATTTGGTTATTCAAAATGTGTTTTATCTAAGCTGGTACTGAGAAAACCTAACAAGCTCTAGTATAATCTCTTTTACCTAGTTAAATTAACCAACACAAGCTGTTAAGCTAACTTTAATTTTTTTACTGTCTAATTAAACAAGTTCTTAATTAAGATCAGAAAATTTGCATTAAGATCTGTGTAAAATTCCCAACAATACCCAATACTTCTCACAAGCTCAGAAGTGTAAAGGTATAAAATTTCAGCTTATATCAGAGTTAAATCCTAATATGGAACCAATCTGATACTTGTTACTTATTACCAGCGGACAAGAACAATTACAAATTCTATTAGCTAATTAACTTAAATGATTAAACCCTAGCTAGGTGATCAGGCTAACAAGAATTAAAAATCAAACATTCATTAAGCTCAAAGTTGAAACAACTAGATAACTGATCACAAGAAAAGCACTTGTCTATTGTAGAACTGAAAACTAGGGTTTTAGCCAGACATGGCTAAAAAGAATTAAAACTAATAAAAATAGAAACTAACTGATTAATCTAGCTAACTAAATGTAGGATATGATCCTCGGATTTTAGATCTTCAGAAATTGCTGAAATCGGTGATAAATTGCCTTGGAAATTGTCTTTTTCGTTGTCTGGAGTTTTAGGAATCGGCTTGGGTACAATCTGATCAAAGGGGTGATATATATATTTAAGCAGGTAACTTCCGAAGCAAGAATCGAAAAAGATGAACACATTTTTGCCCAAGATTTCCCAAATTGTCATTTAATGAAGTATGATGCTATTTATGGCGTATTTTGAACCTCGACACAAAAATGCAGTCGCATTTTTGCCCATATGATCGGATTTTTCTAAATTTTTTGCAAACACAAAAGTCGTCCGAAATTTTTTCTAGTTTCCGGAAGATTTTGAAATTCATCAATCGGAGTTACGAGTCATAAGATATGGTCAAAATACTAAGAAGGTGCCAAAGTTGCCAGCAACATCCTTTGGGCTTTAGAATATAGCAATCTATCTTCATAGGATCAATTCGTTCGAATTTTTCTTGACCATAACAGCTTCCAATCATTCCTCATAATCCTTCAAAAGTTCCTAGCTCCAATTAACTCTAATGCTCCATCAAACGCATCCAAAGTTGCTCCCAAAGTACTACTCTACTCGAATTATCTGAAAACAACATAAAAACATGAGTAGTACGGGAATTCTAACGAATGATATGAGTTAAACATTATTTAAACTAATGGCATGCAAATGTGAAAATTATGATGCTAAATGTTAATAAAACCTACCCTAAAAGATGCATAAAATGGCATCTATTATATATATTGTTGTGTTGTATGTAATATTTAGGATTGTTGATAGTCCTCTGGACTGCTGATAGTCTCAGGGTTACTGATAACCCATAGATGATTATTATGAAGTGTTGTATGTGATATTTTGGGGAGACTCACTAAGCTTTGGCTTACAGTTATGGATTAAATGTTTTTCAGACACCATTGGTGATCGTGGGAAGGTGAAGGCATGATTGTACATATTCATCACCAGCCATGGAGATTCCATATTTATGACATTTCTCTGATTTTCAAACAAATGTATTTTGGAACAAAATGGTTTTCTTAACTTAGATTTTATAAACGTGATGTTTTACCTTTTTTAAAATGAAAAATTTTGTTATGAAAATGGAACATTACAATTTTTTATAAAATCCCCCACTGGTTTGTCTATATCTATTCTCTCTTTTTTTGTGTACTCATAATGAGGTATCCATCCTTTCTTAGCTTTATGCTCATATTTGTCTCCAACATAACATACATCAGCTGATTTCATAGTATTTCGAGGACATTCTTTCATAAGATGGGGACCATTATAATTGTCACAACCTATTTATATAACATGCACTGATTGAGACATTTTTATTCAATTTACCCATGTCTTTAATTTTTGCATTTAAAGCTTCTATTTCCTCATTATTATTCACATCTTTCTTTTTCTTAATAGAGGTATGACGAACAGATAACTATTGGTGTGAGTGTTGTTGTGTTAGTTCTTCTATTATTTCCTTACCTTCAACATAGTATTTCTTAGGTATAAGTCCTTAATATCGATTAATTTCCTAGTAGTAGTATGTAAACCATTGTAAAAAGTTTGTACCTCTTTATGACTATTAAGG